ACACTCTATGTACTGAATAATATTTGTGTTATATTTTTATTATAAGATCATGCTATCACAGTTCATATTCGCAAAATAAAATAATATTTATGTTAAAGAATGAATGTTTAATAATGAAATTAATTAACACGAAATCAACAACAAATTAATCAGACTTGCAATAGATTTCGGTAAAAAGCAACGGAAGTCAGCTTTTTGCATTGCTTATTCGTTACAGCAGAGTTATTTATTTATTGTTTCAGAAATGATTGAATAGTGAAACTTTCTCGTTATTGATTTTTAGGTCTGATACACCGCATATACCACAGACAACCTTTTAGCTCTACAGTGTAATGTTGCAGAGACATTGCAGAAAAGTAAAAAAAATTGCAAAATTTTACAATGCAGCGATATTGCAATAACGTTTATAAAAGTTTTTACCAAGCACAAAATTATAAGTGCTTCAGCATTGCCTTAAAATAATATTGTAGCAATATTGTGTAACATACTTATAATATTGTAATCTAGCAATAATATATAGCTTCATATCTTCGTTTTTTTTTAATATAAATGAGATAAAGATATTGATAATTTAATAAGCTATTAAATGAAATTGTTATCTCGTCGAGTGGGTTCCGTGTAAAATTTTCACGAGGATTTACCCCCTTCTTTATTATCCCCCCGTCAGATCATCCGTTTATCGTCAGGATCCTGTAGAATAGGTCACCGGTTGAACACGATTAAGTATGAGGTGCTGCTGTTAACCGGATTACGAGGAACTTGAGTTTTCTAAAGTAATAAAGGGGAGCTCTACGGCAACCTGATGAAATTCATAGCACTGTATACTGGGCGTTGCAAATAAACCAGGCAACTAGAAAATATCGTCGAGGTTAATTAACATTTAATACGAAAATATGTATCTTTAGGCAATATCTCAAGTCTTTTTTTCTGATAGTAGCAAAAAAGATCATGTTATCATTAAACATTAATATTCAAATTAAAATTTTTATTATTTTATTTTGAATTAATTCTTAAATTAATTTTTAAAAATTTCATGATTTAATATATGAACGCAAATCGATTTAAAAAGCAAATTATTTTTAAAGAATTTAAAAATCAAAGTAAAAGTTTAATAGATTAAACTTTTATTGATTCTTATTATGCGAGAAAAAAAATTGTAATATAAATATTGGTATATTAATTTTTCTATACGAAAGAATATTGTAAACTAAATTTTTATTTAAAAAGTTACACACACATACACACACACACACGCGCGCGCGGACACACACACACACACACACACACACATCTACGTATAAATTGCTTAGCACACTTTGTTAGAATTTATTTTTTCAAAAAATTTTCTTGTTTATTCTGCAATTTAATCATTCAATAAGATACATTAATTTTTTTCTCTATTTGTTTTTAATATATTTCAATATATTCCACGTTCGGTATTGTAAATAACAGACTATGTCGAGATAGATCAAATTAATAAACGTGTGAGGAAAAAGCGAACTGTGTGCTGATAAGATACAATGACAATAAACATTCTCGTTTTATTGATTTTTGGCTATAGGCCAACTTTGAAGCTAGTACATGCCAGTAATACATGACGGACAATTCAGTGATAACATTCCAATAATAGTCAGACTCCTGGAACGTTAACCAACCAACAAACCCTAGGGCTATTATGTGGGACCATACAAATATTTACTTACAAATTTTGATAAATGTCAAGTATCATTATAAATATTAAAAAATATAGTTAACAAAATCTTGAAAAAATTAAAATAGAAGCTATGTATGCTACGTAATAATCTTGTTCAATGTATTAACAATAATTTAAATAGTAATTTATGTTAAATTTTGTAATAAATGAGAAAATATATCTGCACTTTCTACTTTTGTAATAATGATATCATTTTTACTGTAGTTTAAAGAAAAGAAGTAGATTAAAGAAATTTTAAAGATTATTATGTATTTATATATGTAGAAATTTTTGTTAACATAATAACGAAACTACAGTAAAAATAACTTTAATTTTAATTTAGTAAATTAATTTTATTTTAGAAAAATTTCAATGGTAATAAAACTAATTATAATTAATATTGCATATATTCAATTTTTGTAACATTGTACGAAACTTTTTAAAAAAATAAAAAATTGTCATAAAGTATATTTTTTTATATAATAAAATAAGAAAAAAAAGAATATGTAATTCTATCACGCTTTCTTTTTTCTCTTATACGCACATATAAGTATTCAAATATTTATATTTGATCATATTTATCATATTTAATTTATAGTAAATTTTTAATATTTAGAATAATGTAATAAATGTGATATATTAAACCTCAAGAAACTGTGTAACTTAGACTGAACCATAGACTAAAAATATTACCATCAAGCGTTTTTCACGAAAGGTTTAATATATCATCATAATACACTCACGAAAATGAAAACTAGACCGCGACAAAGTAATTCAATTCTAGCTGATTTAATAAACATATATTGAAAAGTAACTAAAAGTTAATTAACATCAAATTTTTAATTTTAATGCAAATAAGATTTTAAATTTTGTTTTAAATTTGTTTTAAATTTTGTTTTTTTGTATAACTGTTTTGATTTATTATAGATATGTGCAACTAAATGCTTGCAGAACATTTACGTTAAAAATTTATATGTCAAAATCACTGTTTATTCTGAAATCGTTTAAAATCTTTGTAAAATAGACTATTCTGTTAAAAAGTGATTAACTCAACGTGTGTTTTCACTGTGTGTTTTGAATCTTTTGTTTTATATTGCTCTACAGGACTACCATTGAATTTTCAACCACTCTCTATCTAAGCAATTGGGTATTCTTGTTGAATCCTCTCCATGTAATGGTCAATTTAACCCTTAACTGTGAAGTGGTGAAGACATCTCGCGTAACTGGAGCATACCGGTTCATAGACCCATGTGTTACTTTCATATTGAAAATAGCAAATTTGTTAAAATTGAATTTATTACATGACATATTTCAAAAGAACAAATAAAAATATTTGAAACACGAAAAAAGTTAAATGCTTTGAATATAAAAAAAAGAGAGATAAAAACGTCGAGCGAAAATTCTTGATAACCTTTTTCAATTATAATTCAAAAGAATCTCGTTATAAACAAAAGAATATCTTTTAACGTAAGATAATAATAATGTCACAAGAATTTTCAGCCGTTTTCTTTCAAAGCCGTACTTTATATAGTTAAGTGTTAATAATAACAGTCCATTAAAAGATTAAACCTACATTAGATTAGGCGTTTGAAATTAAGATTAAAATCTCTGAAGAGATTGGAGACTGTACAATCATTAAAAATCAGCGAGCTATTGACTAATATAATAATAATATGAGTTCAAAATATTTCAAACAAATTTCAATGTTTAAAACGTAACCTAAATATAATTTAATATAATAGTTAATATAAATTTTACAATCTTAACTCCTCTTCTATTTGTACCTTCGAAAGAAGAAAAGGTAATCTGGGACGCATGGCAAACGCGTCAGCTTCGCGCCCCTGGTGTTACATCCCTGGTCGGCCTCTCGCGCACCCTCGATCGGAAGGCATGCATTTCCAGGTGGAATGTTTTCAGGGGGTTAGTAACGCGGCGGCTCGGGCAAAAAAATGGCGGCGGCCGATCGAAGGCGGTGGCGGCGGCGTTATGACGCATGCCGCGTGGCAGCGGCAGCGGCGGCGGCGGCGGCGGCGGCGGCGGCGGCAGCGGCGGCAGCGGCGGTGGTAGTGGTGGCGGTGGCGGCAGCGTTCCTCGGCGGCGCCACCGTCGAACTACCCCCGCAGTTCGATTGGAGACACCGGCCGGTATCGACGGCCGTCGCGACGCTCCGCGACGCGTGTGTACGTTCGTCCGTGCATCCTTCATTCGCGTAAGGGTAGAGAAATAAAAGGAGTGGTATAAAGAGGAGAAAGATCTGCCTGCGAGACGAGAGCGAGAGGAAGCCGCGTCGTGCGACAGGTACGAGGAAAAACCGCCGGGTTTCCGCCGGCGCGACGCGACGCGAAACGGAGGTTGATGGTGTGTCGGCGAGGGGTTGCGCCGCGAACCTTACGGGAAAACCGGGAGTTTCGTGACGTCTCGGCGCCGCTCGCGGCCGCTCCGATTCGCGCCGAACGATGCGTAGTGGCCCTTTCCCGAAGGGCAGCGTCGCGGAAGCGACGCTTTTTCTCTTATTGATTCAGCCCTTCGGTTCGCGGCCCGCGGCGCGCGATCGCTCGATAAGCTGCGTGTCCTCACGCACGCACCGCAGACGCGTATTTTCGGCGGTGAAGTTTTTCTCACGCGCACGACCTTAGGGTTTCTCCATCGACCAAAAGTTATCTCTCACGTATGATTCCCTTCACGGATTAATCGCTCGCCCGCCAGGGTGTAGATTGCCCTCTCTCAAAGGTTGCTTGTTGCTCGTACGCCACGGGCTGGTGCGTCGGAGGACTGATCTTTCTTGAGGAATGAATTTCACGCTTAGCCATGTAGATTATTCGGTAATCGTTGGACGAATTACGGTACTAATGCAACATTAATATGTCATTGTACAGAAGAATAATGTGCTTTAGCCAAATACTCTACGTATATAAATCTGAATTTTGTGCGATACGACTTAACATTTGTATCTGTAAAACAGATATTTAATATATTCATTTACTACAATCCGAAATTTTTGGGGACGTAAATAGGAATTGACTTGGGAATGTTGAAAAGTCGATTCGTTGACACATCAGTCTTTTATTAATCATCAATTTCCATGTAATATTGTTAATGATATTAAATAGTCAATTATTTTTTAGTCTTTGCTAAGAAATAAAATATCTTTCTTAACGCAAATAATAAAAATGTGATTTGAATTTTTAGATATATAATTTTAATATTAAATAATATAAACAATAGGAAATTTAGAGTTTGTGAATCATTTGCTCCAATCAAATGGTGACATGGAACGGCTACGTATCGAATAACGCTGAACGTTAGTTTGTTAAGGGTTAAAATCTGTTTGTTATCGAGCCGCCGGATAATGGCACAATAGTGCAACTTGATTCTCCCTTTGTCACATTGTATTTTGCAGCAGCCTGAATCGTATCACGTGGAAAAAAGCTTCTCCAGAAATTCTGAAAACGAATTGTGTTGAGCAAATACTAAATTATTACGAGCTGCGGTAAAGCCGCAAGCTGCTTCCGTATTTCGCACGTAATTATTCCACTTATGTATTATATTAATATATTGTGAAATATTAGCATTTATATTTGATATTATAAATGCGACATTATAAATACGTTTCTTAAAACGTATATATGAAAAATCTATAGGATAAGTAAAAAGAGATATAATTTAAAAAGTTGATTGAAACACGATAATAATTGATGTATTAATCAAATTTATCTTTTAATGTATTTTATATTCAAAAGAAATTCCAAATTAAACGAACGTATTAAATATCTTTTCTAGAAACAAATATTAATACATATCAGGAAAAACTCTTTAATTATTGATTGTCATATTTAATTATCTTAACTTTGTTATGTAGCATATTCAAACTTACAACATTCGATATTTAATTATAATTTAATTTAACAATATTAAATAATATTATTTGTGGCAGAAAATTGTTAATTTAATTTTGCATATTATTTTGTAGTTTATATAAAATCTATATGTATAACCAGCACATATTCCGCATTAAATTACATATAAATATGCATTTGCTAATTTAACTTGTCATGATTTGTCTTACACAGATAAAGATATACATGTTAATGTAATACGAGTAAGTCATTAATAAATTTTCATCAATTAATAAACAAAATGTAATAATAAAAGCTTTAGAGATGGTAATCTATGCTGCAAGATAATTTGTTCTGTGCATGAATGATAACTATAATAATTAAGAATATTAAAAATAAGTCGGTAAAAATAATTACTTCTAAAGTACATAAACAATCGAATTATACTGATATGCTAAATATATTAAATATATAGAATTTATTAAAAAAATATTTATAAAATTTATATCGAAATAAAAGAAGAATTTGTTTTGTGCAATTCGTTAAATTAAATTATTTCTATAATTAATTTCTATAATTAATTTCTATTTTAATTTTCATTCATAATTTTATGAATGATCGATTCAGTAATCAAGCTATATTTTTTTAAATATATTTATGTTAATATTTCTAATGCACATATTTAATGTATTGATTTCTGTAATTTTATCATTATGCTTGTGTAAAAATTTATTTTTACGCTTATTTTGACGCTTTACATTATCTTGTAGAGCACCTAATTTAATCGGTCATTAGTCAAAGAAAATCAGGAAATCAGTCATAATTCTCTCCGCGTGTTCAATCCTTTGAAGAATTAAATTGTTTCCCTATTACGTTAATACCCAGTTAAAAGCAGATATAATGCGCGTTTTCTGATTTCGTCGGAATCAACAATCAACGCGAATTCAATTCTCGATGGTCAATGATATTGAGAGAAATGTAAGATATGACTCGCGCTCGATATCCAAGTAAGACACTGGGATGTAACACGATAGATGTAAAACGCGACGCGTTTTACCCTTCGACTGCTGCAGCTTACATCGTGCAACTCGGGGATGGGAATTTTGGCCACGAGGTTCTGCCTAGGGTAATCTTATCTGCCGCAACTTCGTGACACCAGGCGGTGATTTAAGCTGAAATGTCAACTATCGGCTACGACAGTCGATATTGAGCTCCATCTACATCGATCGTCGTCGAAATCTAAAGGCAACGTGATGTAGCTTGCTGTACCTTGATATAATCGACAAACCGATTACTTAACTTTTCCTAGAATTTCACGAGCCTCAAAGGAAAACCTGCAACGGTTGCAATGGTTTTTATGCACTTTATCTTTTTAAACTTTTACTTCATTTAGTTCGCGTTGCGAAAAAAAAAGAAAAAAAAATAATTACGCTTCTATTATGGAATACGTAATAGACCTGTGTTTTTCTTTTAATTATTTTCCTGTTACAAAAGCTCTAGAAATTTAAAAATAAAAGTAGGAGGAGCATAAGAAATTGAAACAACGCACGGGCAACGGATAAAATTATTCGCCGCTTGGGAAATTTATCGCTTAAATCTAAATCGGCGCGGCCGATGAAGTGAGATTTGCGTGCGATATTAACTTGTCTCCTACATTGTTTTACATAACGAAGTCACGTGCTCCGACAATACCCCGAAAATTTAATTTTCACCACAGTGTACGACTGACTTTTTTTCCGGGCAGCTGCGACGCGGCGTCTTGCATATTCACGTAACGCTCGCTTTTGGCGACGGCCAACATCGCAACCAAAAAGGGGGAATTGCAAGTCTGGCGAATAAGCGAAAAACCTAATTCTAAGCGCGTTAATACTCACGAGTTCGCGCGTTAATCCGGCTGTTTCACCGGTCCACCTTACATTTTCTGCCACGCCAAATATCCTACCAGACGTTCTCGAATAGTTGCGTCTCGGGAGTGCTCTCGCGGCAGGATACGCGATTATATCCTGCCTCTTCGCTTCGCGATTTTTGGAAAAAAAAAAAAACAAAAAGAAAAAAAGAAAAGAGAGCGAGTCGGAGATAGAGACCGAGAGCGAGGTGAAAACAACCTCTTTGTGCGAGCCCGCGGGAAATATGCATGCCCGCATTGATATGCATACGGTGTCAAGTAAATTTGCATCGGGTATCGCGCGAAAATAGAGACCTATCATTTGCCATGATATAACGAGAATAGTAAACGCTGCGGATACTTTGTTACGCACACACGCCATTTGCAACTGAATCGACCTCGACCTGTGTCAATTCACTTTTGCAGACCTATGAGTGATATTCGCGATCATCATCGCGATAGCTGAATTTTACGACGCGCCACATGATCATTATTGAAAATTTTTACAATTTTTTTTTAATAACATCTGTTTCTTTTTTTCGTTCTTTAATATTGCAACTTTAACATTAGTTTATTATCGCGCATTTAATCAAAAGAAGCTGTTTCTTCAGGAATTTTTATCAAAATAACTTTTGTAAAAAAATACGCTATATAATAATAATTATATTGCGCACAAAAATATTTAAAATTCAGCATTAATTTTGAAAAAAAAATTTTAAACAAACGTATATTTTTTTCGTTGAAATCCAGGTTTTTCTGTTTCATCTCTTAATTCATTGGTTCGTTTGGTCCACAGGGAGGGTCAATGGTGCTCGCGTGATCGGTTATCGCAGCATCAATTTTTCGTGTTGTGACGAGTGTCTCAGACCGGTGCATCTCGAATCGCTTGGTGCTAGTAGTCGCGAGTAATTAGTGATTCGGCGGATCGGGAGAGAAAGAGAGAGAGGGAGAGAGAGAGAGAGAGAGAGAGAGAGAGAGAGAGAGAG